ACACACACACACACACACACACACACACACACACACACACACAGACACAGACACAGACACACACACACACACACACACAAGGGTGCCCATAGAAGATCAGCTTCTCAGCAGACCTGGCTACTCAAGGAAAACCTGCACGCGATTCCCATTGTCTTGAATGTCTACGATAGTCTTTCCTGGCTCCGCTTCATTGCCGTAAATCGGTGCTTCATCCAGAATTTTTTTCAGATTCACGCCCGCGACTCCTGTCAGCAGGAAAACAGAAAATCAGGCGTGTCAACTTCCCATAGCTTAGGGAAAAAAAAAAAAAAAAGGATTTCCACAGGCACTGCCCATCCAATCAAACCAACTGCGAGCTGCAACAATTTTACAGAAGCCAGGTGATGGACCAACCTCTTCGGGTGTCAGCAGAGCAAAGGGGGGCTGGTTCCTGGGGCCAATCTCGGAGTGAATCACAAAATTAATCAGAAAAGTGACAAAAATGGCCCTATCAGGTTTGGATACGCAAAAAATTAAAAAAAAACTAGCCTCGTGAGAATGCACCTGGACTTGCAAATGCCCAAGTGCATGGTTGTGCCAACACCTGGGCGCATTCTGACAGGTAGTCCCTCATCATTCCCTAGTCATGGGTCCTCCTTTGCGGCCGCCGTGTGTTGCCATTCGTCGCCGCAGTCGTCGTCTTGGCATATGCAACAGCCAGCGGGAGGCAGCCCGAGCCATAGCCAGCGTAGCTGCAGACACCAGCAGGAAGGAGGCAGCGAGAGGAAGCCAAGAAAACAGCGGGAGGAGCAAGGAGGCTTCACCAACAGACGCCAGTGGGTTACCACCAGCCTTTCTCTCTCTCTCTCTCTCTCTCTCTCTCTCTCTCTCTCTCTCTCTCTCTCTCTCTCTCTCTCTCTCTCTCTCTTCATGCTCGGTTTGAGCCATAGGCCTCCACTTACGTCTCTCTCTCTCTCTCTCTCTCTCTCTCTCTCTCTCTCTCTCCCGGTTTGTCGTCACTGGAAACGTGAGTTTTTTCTTTTGTTGTTGTTAACTTCTCCCCTCCTCCTCCACCATCGTCTTCTCCATCTCTTCTCTGCATTCTCTGCGTTTCCCGCTCTCCATCCTCTTCCGTCCTCTTCTTCATCCCTTGTCCATCTTTCCTCCTCCTCCCTCCTCTTCTTCCTCCTCGTACCTCGTCTTCTCCATCGCTCCACCTGCCCTTCTTTATCGTCGACAAACTTGGAGAAAGCCGTTAGTTAGTGGAATAGCATTTTTTTTTTCTCGACTTTGCCCCTCCTGTCCTTCCCCTCTTCCTCATCCATGATTGTCTTCTCCATCTCTCCTCCACCTTTCCTGCTCCCCATCCTCCGCAATCCTCTTCCTCATCCCTCGTCCACATCTCCTCCTCCTCCCTCCTCCTCTTCCTCATCCTACTTCATCTTCTCCATCGCTCCACTTACCCTTCTCCATTTTCGGGAAACTTGGAAAAGCCCTCACACAAGTCGCGATTATTTTTGTTTTTGCTAACTTCTCCCCTCCTCTCCTTTTGCTGCTCCTTCACCAGAGTCACCACCATTGTCTTCTCAGTCTTCTCATCTCTCCTCCGCCTTTCCTGCTACCCATCCTCATCGCTCCTGTTCTTCATCCCTCATCCACCTCTCCTCCTCCTCCCTCCTCCGTCAGCGGTCTGCTCCTTCCACCTCCCTCCTTCCTCCTCGTAATCTTTCTCTTCCTCTCACTCCCTCCTTCTCTCGTTTCTCATATCGTTCCTCCATCATCAGATTCATCACTCCCTCTACCATCTCCGCTTCTCTCCCTCTGCCATCTTGGTATTCGAGATTTAGTGTCGAAGATCCCAACGGTTAACTTCCATTGAGCTCGACGGAAGTCGAAGAGCGCAGAGCTTTGGTTTAATTACGGGCTGGCAGTTGAAGGCCGTGCTTTCATTTATTTGGGTGCTTTGATGGGGGGTGGCAGATGCTGTTTCTTTTTTTATTATTATTATTATTATTATTATTATTATTATTATTATAATAATTATTATTATTATTATTATTATTATTATTCTCGTGGGCTGACATCAGGGATAAGGTGAAACCTGCGGGGGTTCGTGAGGAAGGTGGAGGGGAGGTTTTCCGTCTTGTTTTTTGTTTTGTTCTGTTTTGTTTTTTTCGCGGGTTAGCAGGAGGAATGGGGTGGAGCCTGTGGGGGTTGGGGAGGGAGGGGGAA